GGCTTTGGGGGCCCAGCCAGAGCCGCCTGGTGAAGAACCAGGAGAGGGGCAGCAGCGCCTTCTGGAAGAAACCCTCCTCCTCCAGCCCGCTGAACGGGACCCTGCTGCCCGCCACCAGGCATGGGGTGGGCCAGCGACCCGCGTCCCGGACAGTCTTCTACGTGGAGTCCCTGGAGGAGGAGGAGGAGGTGCACGGCGGGATGGTTGGGGGCCCAGCCAGAGCCGCCTGGTGAAGAACCAGGAGAGGGGCAGCAGCGCCTTCTGGAAGAAACCCTCCTCCTCCAGCCCGCTGAACGGGACCCTGCTGCCCGCCACCAGGCATGGGGTGGGCCAGCGACCCGCGTCCCGGACAGTCTTCTACGTGGAGTCCCTGGAGGAGGAGGAGGAGGTGCACGGCGGGATGGAGCTAACCCGAGAGCGGGAGAAGTCTCTGGTGCTGCAGGAGATGAAGGAGGAGCCGGCGGACTATTCGGACCGCAGCAGCCAAGCAACAGGTGAAGGATGTGGACACAGGTACAGTGACCCGCGCAGCGTAGCGCGTCTGGGGGTTGGAGTGTGATACTTGGACGCGCCCGTCTTGCATGAGCCAAGCCAGCCTAACTTTGGGGGCGTCTTGTGTCCTGGTTTGTTGTGCTCAAGTTTAGTTGGGCTAGCACGTGGGTGGGCTGCTTTTCCGGGCTGAGCGGGTACGGGTAGGAGGCAGCTCAGCCCTACCAAGGCTCATCAGCCTGGGAACTTCGGTCATTGCTCTTGTGCCGCCAAGGTCGCGCGGGGTCGTGGCTTCTGCGTGTGCCCTGTACTTTCCTCTAGCTCTGTACGATAACGAGCAAGACTACTCCGCTGCCCCTCCCTTCCTCAAATTGCTAGTGTGATGGCAAGTGCTAATCAAAACCAACTGACCAGGAGAAGCAATGATAACTTGAGGGGGAAAAAAGTTCGCTAAAAATGTTAAGGCAAATGTTTGAAATGGAAAGAAATTTGGTAAGATCATCCCAATATCTAAAGGTTTGGTAGAAAAAGTTGACCTGAAGATGTGGCACTTTTCCCCCCCAATTTGTTACCCACTTAAGCAAGGGCTCAGCATTTTCTTTATCCTCAGATCAATGTCCCTTATACAGCAAAGGGAAGTTCAAAGACAATATGGCATTTAGGGCAATGAGAAAACTACCTTGAAAATAGAGAACTGTCCAGCTCATAGAGAAAAAGTGATTCCACACCTGAAACAGTGGAATTAGAAAAGTGATTTCAAATGCGTTTTTTTCAGAGTTTTTGATGTTATCCAAGCTCTTTTTCTAACTTCTTATGGTAAAAATTAAAAAATTCAGTAAAGTAATTAAAGAATGGAGTGAAATTTACATTCAGTGTAAAGAGGACAAGACTTTTTGGTGAAAGTGAAGCTGAAGAGTAGATTGGGAGATCCATCAACACTGTTTCCCCTACTTTCCTAGTTGTTTAGTAAATTTAATTGTATTTCTTTTGCCCTGTAATTACTTTCTCCATGTTAAGTAAATCTTCAGTTTTATTTATAAATAGAGTGACAAGTCTTGATAGTCTATTCCAAGGATTCCTATTCACTATCTTGCATATAACAGGTATAATTGAAAATAAACATTCATTTGAAAGAAAACATTCTAGAGAATGTAAGAGCCTTCTCACAGAAAGAAAAACATTTTTAATTTATTTGAAAAAGGGTTTTACAGTTTTTATCAAATAGTATAATTAATTTCACAGTATCTACTTGTGTAAACAAACATGGGCCCTCCAAGGCATGAGTTTAAGTACTTTGTTAAAGGGGAAGTCAGGATGCTGAAATTTAATGTTACTTGGAGATTATCATTCAGAACATGTTGGGTGTTTTGAATTAAAGGCTCAAATATTTGCAAGGTATATATAAAGAAAACCATTTATCTGTGCTTCAGAATAAAAGCATTTGAGAAGTAAATCAGATCTAGTTTATTTAAATTCTCTATGCAGACATTTACTCTTGAACGTATCATTGATTTAAGAATCCTAATGATTTTTCATATTGACCAAAGAGAAAATGCTTGTCAGCCTACTGAATTTGCATACAATTGCTTTATCCATGATGATAGATTTGATAAAATGGTGTTGCTTGTTAGACATGTATTGTCTGAAATTATTTATGTTTAATGGATTTTGTGTGTTAAGTTTTCAGAATGCATTGGTTCTATGATTGTATCCATTGCTTAATTAGTAGCATACAAGGCCATCTATTATTGCTATTGTTTTATAATTTCATATAACAAATTACTTTTAACTAGTTGAAGTAGATTCATGGAGGGGAAACATTTTATTAGTAAACTCCTCCCTCTTTTTTTGCAAAACAAAAATGTATTGATTAAAATACATTACAGGGAGGTTTGGTTTTTTTTCCAGGATAATTTCAGTTCAACTAATTTCAGTTTCCAAGATCATACTCTATAAAGTAATAAAGCATCAGTGTCCAGTGAGAAAAATATACCACATTCAAAATAAACTTGCATTTCATCTTACCATTTAACACTTGACTTGGTAGATACTGTGTATTGCCAACAATCTACTCTATGACTGGACCAATTTTGTTTTGCTTTCTGTAGTAATGACACTTGCTGTAATGTAATATCAACTTTACTGCTTGTTTACACCATTGTGTCTGCAGGATACACGATCCATGGTTCACTGTTGAATGAGAGCCTGATTCTGTTTAGGTCTGTGGCACAAGTGCAAAACTGCTAATCAGTATATTTGGCCCACAGATTATGAAATTGTTCAATTTTTGCATCTTTGGTTCCCCATATTTTGATATGGGGTTCAAGAGTATTGTAGCACTTCAAAAGCTTTTTCATTTTAGGAACTGAAATAGCAAGCTTGTTTACTTTAAAACTGTAAGTACCGTAAGATTCAGATTTCATCCAAATGTTGAAACTGTTAGTGTATCCTGTGATGTTACCATAAATTGATGATAATAGATGCTATTTCTAAACTGAATTATTTCACTATGATGGTATATCTGACTTTTAGAAAACATCAATCCAATAAAAGCATTTTAAGATCGATTTTAAAAGTTTCAATAAATACCTCATAAGCATGAACATATTGTAGAATTTATTTTTGGTGATAGGAGATGTGTTCTTAAAACAAACACAACATGGAATAATGTTGGTTCCTTGTGAGTAAACAAACACTGTAGCAGAAAGGGGAAAGCAGAGTTTTCATGTGTGGGCCTACACTTGTATTATTCCACTTTCTATTTGTGAATATAATTTATGCCATTCCTTGAATTCTGATCTTCATGTAGGGATACCCATGTCTTGGTCCCTTCTGATCATGATTCCAGGCTGCACAGGATGGTGTATCCTTGCCTAGAGCATGTCTACACTGGGGAGTTATTTCAAAATAATAAGGCAAGCGTTCGCACTACCAAGCCTGCCATTTTGAAATAAGGGGCTTATTAATTCAAAATAATAATTCCTGCTTGCGAAGAGGAATAAGCTTATTTTGAAATAGTTATTTCAGGATTTATTGTAGACATGGCCTTAGTTACTCTCAGCAGACATATTGCCCAGCATACATGCTTGCTTTCTCTTCAGAGATTGTTAATAGTATGATGGCCTGTGTTTCTAGATACCACACAGCTCTTTTTATGCAAGCATAATTTATTCTTAAATTAAAAAAAAACTACAGAGAAAACTGATAGAACAATAAAAGAACATACACTCATGCTAATAAGCTTACTAGACATCATTTCAACTGTAGCGTGGGCTCTGATAGAAGCAGTCCTATGGTCACAAGATCATATCCTTCTTTACTCAGAATTAGCATTCAGTCTGGGTCTCAATAGACCAAGTCTTTCCAACCCATTTCTAAGGATTGGGACCTACCTTGGATCAGAGTTCCTCACCATTTGCTGGATCAGGAAGAAGGCCCTGAGCCTGATTAAAACCAAGGTTTTTATCAAAAAACCCTTTATTTGTGTCTTAGTCCTTCTCGAATGCAATTTGAACTGGTATGTGTGTCTCTCTGGAGAGGTGGCTTCGCAGGGTTGCTAATGAAGAAATCACATTAGCATCCTCCTCCTCCTAGACAAGGTTCATAGAATTACACAATAACCATGAGTGGTAAGTGAAAGTAGAACTGTGGGACGCAACCGTCCCACCCCCTCCCTTTCTGCCCGAGGCCCTGACCCCTATAGGAACTAAGACAACTCGCCATAGGAGCCTGCACAGCCCCTGGAGCACAGGAAGAGCAGGCAGCACATGGCCCCAGTCTCCCTTGCTCCAGAGCAAGAGGAAGGTGTACTGCATCAGTACCTCCATTATCCCAGGTCCCATGGGGAGAGCACAATGCTCCAACATCCCCAGCCTCAGCATGGCTGAAGCCCAGGAGCCGTGCTGAAGCAGAAAATGTTATAGGGATGGAGTTTGGGTGGGTCCATGCCTGGCAATTTGCCTTCCCCTGCCTCTTATATCCGCCGCCCATGAGAGTAAGGCTATGTCTACACTACACTGTTCTTCCGAACTGCAATTTGCGTAGCTTTTTCAGCTTTTTTTTTTTCAGAAGAAACTTTTCTAACATTTGGCCTATTTACACTGGGCCAAATGTCAGAAACCCTCACCATTAGGGGAAAAAAAACCCCTTTCAGAACATCCCTTGTTCCTTATAAACGAGGTTTACAGGGATGCCAAAAAATGTGTCTACTTTTCCGAAAAAAATTTCCGGTATCCCAGAAAAGCTCTGTAGTATAGAGATAGCCTAACATACACAAAATTGCATTTTTAATACAATGGACCTCAATGGTATTAAACCTAATTCATAA